AAAGATGGGCGGGTAGTAGGCCTCCTGCGGGACGACATGGCCGCCTCACGCACGCATTCCTTCCTCCCTTTCTGTGTGTTGCAGCCTATGGAATCAACAGCATCCTCTACCAGCGGGGCATCTATCCCCCCGAGACCTTCACCCGCGTCCAGAAGTACGGGCTCACCCTCCTCGTCACCACCGACCCCGAGCTGAAGAACTACCTCAACAACGTGGTGGAGCAGATGAAAGGTGGGAGGGCCGGGCTGGGGAGCTGAGGGGGTTCTTCAAGCTGCCAAGTTAGCCCCACTGGCGGGAGGCAGGCGCGCCCTCCTTGCGGTGTCTCTGCTGATGTTCCTCATCTTTCTCGCACGGCAAGTAACTGCTCTGACTTCTTTCAGAGTGGCTGTACAAGTGCATTGTGCAGCGCCTGGTGGTGGTCATCTCGAGTATCGAAAACAATGAGGTTCTGGAGCGGTGGCAGTTTGACATCGAGTGTGACAAAACTGCAAAGGATGACAGGTAACTGTTCCTCTATGCCTGCTCTTCCATGTACCCAGTAGCTGTGCAGGCACAAGATAAATGCCATGGTTCCTCAAAGTGGATGAAATAGCCTTTTCTCAGTATGAGCATCAAACCTTACCAAACTTACTTTCTTACTGCGATTCTGTTTGTAAACCAGTCATTATGTGACTGAAGCATGTATAATCCTCAGATGCTTATTTTTAATTTTTTTTAAAGCATCAGATCAAAACTTTTTAATCTTCAAGAAAGTATACAACGTCCTGTATTGGGTACATGCCCTGAATAACTGCTACTTGTTATGCCCAAATGTTCTCATTCATTCCAGACTGAGAATAAATCTTAACATTCCTTACAAATATTGTGAAGCTTCACAAACAACAATAAAGGGAAACTGACTATCGCTTTTCTAAGCCTATCTACCTAGGGCTTAAAGGAGTGTCACTACTATAAAAAAATCCTATAGCGAACAGACCAACAGAGCATAATAGAGAGAACTGTATTAAAAGAAAACTGTCAGTAGAGTAGAAACGTTCTGACCAGTTTTCCTGTGTTTTCCAGTGCACCACGAGAAAAATCTCAGAAAGCTATTCAGGATGAAATTCGATCTGTTATCAGACAAATAACTGCCACAGTAACTTTTCTGCCACTGCTGGAAACTGCCTGTAAGTATTCCTAACTTCATTAAAGAAATCAAATGCTTTATTTTGGAAAACCTCAACAACTTTTCCATTTTAGAAAACATTTTCTGCTAATTTTTTGAGGCTTTTTAATTATTGCATGTCATACACCCTCACATTTCTGAGACAGCATTTTGTTAGACTGAGATCAGGACAGAACTCAGGGTGGCTTAACTAACTTAATGAAACTAGTATGCGTACTCCAAGGAGTTTAAATTTTCATAAATATATTATTTTGTGACTGTAGCTGTGGACAGGCTTGTATAAATAACCATTGAGTTTATATGAAGTGTTACTTAGAGCTCAGCTCCACAGTACTTTAACATGGTTAAAGAAAAGTTGACATCACACTCACTTTAGAAAACTGAAAAGGGTACACATGAATATAGCCAGGACTTGTTTTCATGTTTTTTAACTACTACTTCTTTTCACATAACTAGCATCAGCGTAATTTCTGAGAACCTTGGTACATGTCTCAAGTTTTAAAAGATGAACTTCAAACACACCATCTTCTTATACAGGCATTAATGCATGTTAATATGTTCCTACTTGCTTCCAGGTGCCTTTGACTTGCTGATATACACAGATAAAGATTTGGCAGTGCCAGAAAAGTGGGAAGAGTCAGGACCACAATTCATAGCCAATTCAGAAGAGGTTCGTCTTCGCTCCTTCACTACTACAATCCACAAAGTAAATAGTATGGTGGCTTACAAAAAGGATTCCTTTCCCTAAGAAGTGGGGGTTTTGTATACATTCTGTAACCTTGTATAGTTTCTGGTGATAGTGCAGCTAAGTCATGAATGCACCATTACTGTTGCTCTTAAGTATGATACAGAAAAAAGGCAACATGTTTGTCTGTGATGATGTGGTGTAACACTAGACTAAGCTGGTATTGTTTTTAAAGAGGTCTAAATAAAGTATTCATAATGGTAGTTCAATCCTTACTTGACTGTATGAGCTAAACTAACGGTGTTAACTACCACATTGACTAGAAAAACTGCCTAAAATGTATGATTAATTACTACAATTGTGTCCAGATTCTGTAATTTAGTATTTTGTTACAAACTGCCTTCTATTACCAGGCTTAAGTTTTCTCTGGGACTAAAAAAAAAATAAAAATCTCACTCCTGCCATGCCAGTTCTTTATGTTAAAAGCCTGGGCTGTTTTATCACTAGAAACAATTAAAATTAATCAACAGAACAATTCTGAAGTTACTTGTACCTCTTTATAATGAAAGCAGCTGTTTTATCAGGAAAATTTCAAATATATGAAGCCTTGTATATTAATGACTGCTGGTCTTTAGCACTGGCGATGGGGGTGTTCAGTCTCTAGTGTCTGTTGCGTTTTCTATGTTTGTATTCTTGTTTTACAGAATAAAGCTTGAACTTGTATAGTTTTCTCTAATTCAGAGTCTGAAGTACTTTATTTTAGATGGTTTTATGAATGCTGCATCTTACTTTATAACTGTCATAGCAATAATATGCTAAAGGCATCCTACTTAGTTATTACTTTAACTGTTTCCCCTGTATCTCAAAACAAGTGTTGTGGAGTCACTATGAAATCCATTCATGGATTAATAGTTTGCCTCCACTTAAGTCTTCAAACAGTACAAAGAGTCATAGTGACCTAATGATTAAGCACAGGACCCTCCCTATTTGTTAAATAGCATAGGATTCTCCCTGCATTTTCCACACATTTTTGTACTGGAAGAAATTAGGAATTTAAAACTCTCAAGTGTTAATAGAACTTTCAGGCTCTTCCACATTTTTGTTCATTTCCTTCACCAAATCCAATTCAGCCAGAGTATTTAACTTTTTTCCTACTCTTCTAAGAGTTATATATGGCTCTTCCTGTTACAATAGTATAATTTCAGAAGTTTATTTAAAAATCTTGATTATACACACACTGCTGTATTACAAAGGTTCTGGGTTTTCCTATCAGGAAGTAGTTCTCTCCAGCAGTCCCAATCTAGCAGAATTGAAAAGGCAGGCTTTTGTAAAACAGTAGCACAAAATCATGGTTTTTGAAAATAAATACAATTTAGGTACTTAAAAAAAAAGTTACATTATTTACTACTGGGGCTTGCACTGCAGTAACAGAGGAATACCTAGTGTTTTCTTCTGCCTGACAGCAATATTCTTAAAACAGATAACTGCACTACCCGTTTACACCTAGGAGGAGGTGCACTTCAAAGAGTGCAACTTCAGGCACTTCCCCTGGGGAGGACTGGATCAAAGCAGCGAGTGCAAGTCAACTGTAACAGAAATTTACATCAGGAACTGACCAAAGATGAGATCAGGAGGTGACTGGTACAGGGCTAGAAGTAACAACTACAAAACCCCCTTGTTTTATAGAGATGCTGAAGTCAGATTGCTCCAGGAAGTTCAAGTCACTTCTTTCTTGTACCAAACACAATTTTTTTTTTCTTCTTCTTCAAGAAGGACTAGCCCAAAGTCCATCATCATCTATGTATTTTTCTTCTTTTATGGAGGCACCAACAATCAAGAGATAGTATAATGTCCATAAAAACTACATGTGAAAAGGAACAGGTAATAAATCCTGAAGTTTTCACAATGACCCTGCAGAACAGGAAAGACAGAAAAAAACAGACGCATGAACGCACTCTCCCAGAATCCAGCCTTTACAGAGGTGGCCAATGGGGTTTGCTGATACCTAAACAGGACCCACACTCTTCCCAAGTTTCCCCCACCTCAAGGATCACTTCTCTGCAAGGTGAACAATCAAAACAAAGGACCCCTCCCATCTTTGACGGCAGTATTCTTAGGAAACCGATAAAGGGTAAGATTTACAAGTTAGACAACAGGGGGTCCTCACCTGACTAGTTCAGCTGACGTATAAGCTGGTTGATTGCTTCACCTCTGCAGCCAGGCTTACCCATTTCCTTTAGGAAGCCCACTTTGTTACGCGAAGCATGGCGAGCCACTGAAAGATGGAATGGCCACAGGAAGTTTGTGACTTTTTTGAAATGTTTCCCAGCAGAGTAGATTTCATGAATAAGGTCTTCCAGGCAAATAATACCATAACCCCCTGCAGGGAAAAAAAATTAAAAAAAACTCAACAGAACAGCAAAAAGCCCCCCACAAACAACATATACATGAGATGAACAACTGTATTATCTTTCCTCGTACTACTCTGGAATTCCTAGTCCTCCATATACAAGTCTTGAAAGATTTTCTTTCCCCCTTAGGTCAGACTGCAAACTCTCAACATCTGCCTCTTTCCTTGCTTCATTTCCTCATCTTCTTCCTCACCTAAATGTTCCTCTATCAGCATGTTGTCCGTCAGAGGCAACCTCTTTTTCTTAATCTTGGCTTGGCCCCGTTTCAGGATGAGCTCTCGTACAGATTTCAGGTTAGGGTGTCTGTACAAAAACAAAAATCAGATTCTGTAACAGACAGACATGATGCAGCACGAAGTCCCATCCTACTTCTTTGTACAGAGGTGGGAAAGTAACCAAATTATGTTTAGAACAATAAGTAAAGGGACAATAACAAGTTTTAGATATAAAGCTGACAAAGTTTTGACCATCACTGGAAAAGCCAGCTATGGATTTGTGATACCAGATGAAGAATCAAAAAGCTATCGCATTTACATACAAACTACTGCCAAGTCACGGGACTGGTACTTACCCCCACGCCACGTAAGGTTCCACAATCCGCAGCATCTTCAGCGATAATGGAGTCAGTTTAACAAATATTCCAGTGTAATTTTTTCTCAGCCGCAGCAACTCAATCACTCTTCTTACCCTCTTACTCACTCCCTTAATACTGAGTCACAAAAAAAAATACTATTAGTAACCACGTTTCTCTAATACGGCAACAAGAGGCCTCCTGCAAGGAGGCATGTCTGGCTTGATCACCCTTCCTTTGCTTAGAAATAATATGACAGCTACAAATGGTAACAATAATAAAGGTAAGGAGCGATAAAAGTTTCTTACTCTACAATCCGCACAACAAAGGCTAGTTTCTGCTCCTGAGGTACAGCCATCTGTTCAGGTCTCTGCTCCATGCGCCTCAGCCGGGTGTTGTCTCGGTGTTTGCGCCATGAATCTTGAACAAAAGCCTCAAGGCGTTTAAACTGGATTTGTTTCCCCTTCTGGTGCTAAAGACAGAAGGATAAGAAATCATCCATCACCCTTCCCAGCAGTCTTAGGGGTTGGCATCTCAAAGGCCAAGGGAAATTCAGAACTTGATGAACTACGCTCTTTCAGTTTTGGAGGCAGTAAGAAGAAAATAAATTTGATAATCTAAGCCCAAGGGAGCAAGAACTGAGGGACAACATATAAATTTACAAGCAGCTAGCTACAATTTATGAACAGTGAACAAAGATATTTCCCCAGAAAAAAAATAAATTAGGAAAAACAGAGCAAGACACAGGATACTTCTAGACATAGGAGAAATCAAACAGAAGCATTTGTAGCCACAGACAGATCTTCACAACTACATAGACAGCTCAGCCAATCGCTGGGAAAGCCAGAAACAACATATGTATCTAGGTAAAACAGACGCTACAGCAATACCCTAGTGCAACTCAAAATTATCAGCCAACAGAAAATAATCGGGTTTAAAGTCCTTTTCTATAAGGGCACACGTGCAAAAAAAATGCAAGCATTCAAGTAACTATTAAGTATTACTGATTTAAACACAGAATATCTAACTCACTTGAAAAAAATAATTCAGAATTATGGGAAAATTTAAAGCTTTTTTTAAAAATGAAAAAGATGTTTGAATGCCTATCCTTAGCTCACAAACAAGTACATCCACCTAAATCATAGTGCTCATATGAATAGGAGTTGAACAGGCGTAGCAGTTACCCAATAATATTTTAGATACACCACTGGGTAAATTATTAGGCCATTTTAAATAAAAGAATCTAATGTTATGTGTCTTCTATTTCACCTTGTCAATCATCCATGAAATTGGTTTGAATTTTCAAAGCTGGTAGAACCTAATCAAAATCTTGTGACTAGAGTCATTTTTCTAATGAGAATTTTAAGAGGTGGCTATTTAACATTATTGCTTATACTTCTACTTCCACCTTAGAAATACAGCAAGACAATGATATGTTTAAAAACATAAATACAGTATCTAACAAAAACGGCAGGAGTTTTGCACATAACCCCACCAACTCCAGAGAAACAGATTCACTCAGAAAGCTTTAGGCCACTTCCAAGACAGGCACCTGCCGTTATTAGCTGAGATACAGCAGAACAGGTCTCAAATTCTGAAACAGAAAGGTCTGTTGTGCTCTGCCGGTCTGGAAACCACACACTGTGCACAGGGAGTCTCTGCATTAAAAACATGGGCCACCCTACATGCAGAATAAGGCTTCATGATGACCTGTCTGTGCTCTAGCAGATTGATCTAGCTAGCAGTAGATAGCTAACTCTAAACACACTCTCAGAAAAGCACACCGTCTCCACGAAGATTTACAATACAAAGGTGAACTGGTTTCAGACACTGTCATCCCATAGTAGCACAAACAACTCAGCACCATTACACTGTACCACTTGTGGCTATACACACGCGCACCCTCGTAATCGCTGATCTACGAGGAACGACTTACAGTCTTCAATAAATTTGTGTTTTAGTACAAGAACCCAAAAAGTTTTGTCCTCTTTACAGGTCTCAGAGACGCATAGGGAAGATGCTCAACAACCGAAGAGATGCACTCAAGCTTCCTCAGAGAAACCCCACAGGATCTTCACAGCACCAATACAGAGTCTCAGCAACGAGCCGACTCCCTCCTTTGCCTACCCGCTGAGCTCCGGCATCCCCCCTCGCAGAGGACGCTGATCACTCAGGTCATTCGTAGGACTGCACGGAAGGACGATTCCCTCCCCAGAAAGGCAAGCACGGACAGCAGCAACAGCACTGCAAATCCGCCCCGGCCTTCACCCC